CGTGAACGTGCCATCGGCATGTTGCAGACGGGAACGTCCGTAGCTGAAGTTGCAAGGACGATGGGTTGTAGTCGACGGACTGTTTATGATTTACGGACGCGTCTACAGCTGATCGCCCTCGGCCAGGTCGACCACGTGCAGAGGATCGGCAGATTGTCTTACGTCACCTCCGTAACCGATTTTTGACGGCTACATCAACCAGAAATGAACTGTTTAGGGGTAGACTGAGTGCGCAAACTGTTCGAAACCGTCTGAAATCTGCCCACCTTCAAGCACGACGGCCATACTGCGGGCCGATTCTGACTCAATTACACAGACGTCAACGTCAATTGTGGGCACAGTGACACTTACGAATGACTCAGAGGAATTGGAATCAAGTCGTCTTCAGTGATAGTTCCCGATTTAATCTTCGATTTGCTGATGGTAGGGCGAGGGTGTGGAGGCGCCGTCATGAACGTTACGCCCAGTGTTGTGTACAGGAAGTTGACAGATTTCGAGGCGGAAGTGTCATGATGTGGGGTGCTCTCTGTGGCAATGCACGTTCCAGGCTTCTTGTCATCCGTGGCAACCTCATCGCTGCTGCTTACCGCGACCAGGTACTGGCACCAGAACTTCTGCCTTATATGGCAGCACATGGACCCGGTTTGATTTTCCAACACGACGATGCCAGACCCCACACAGCAATTTTGACAAGGAATATACTTCAGAATGCGGGAGCCAACTTCATGGACTGGCCGTCAAGGACTCCCGACCTCAATCCTACCGAACACGTCTGGCAGAAGTCTGCGCACTCTCCAGAACCAACCACAGAATTTGCAAGATCTTGGCACCATTTTGCAGCAACAATGGCGTCGTCTTCCCAATCATGTGTTTACAAGCATCACAAGGTCAATGCGGAGGCATTGTGTGGCAGTTGTCAACGCACATGGTGGCCATACACGCTACTGAACTTGTGTGCCATCAGATTCTCGTGCTTGGGACTTATGATTTAAACTGTTGATGTTATTACCGAATACCGTAGGTGCTTGGAACAAATTATGGTTACCACCGTTAATTGAAATCCTTCTTTGGACATTAATGATTAAAAATTACCTTCTCTGATACATTTGTCCGTTGTATATCATATATGGGATTACTTTTTAAAATGTGAAGTTTTTAATTTGACTTATACATAAATATTAGTGTAATTTCTCCTAAAGTAGACAATGAACAGAAATATTAGTCGAATGTATTTTTTGTTAATACCAATGCTAATATTTTTAAATACATCTATTCGAAAATAGGATATCCGAGGATATATCTATATAATCTGGTAATATTACTTGCAACATTATTCGAGTCACAAGTACCGAAAAACAAATAGAGTTTCCACTGTGTGAAGATGAAATATCTCTGAAAATGAGCCAAATCTCATCACACGCCAAAAAATCGCATTGCTTTTGGACCAGGGGAGATTTTCTATCATAGTTAAAATATCCAGGAGAATCCCTGCTGCAAACTAATGCAGCGTATTGATCGGGCACGCGTCTTGTGTATCGGGCGCCGAGATCATAGATTTAATCAATACATACATGTACATCTTCAGTCGGACCAACTTGGCTATTGTTGTACTATGGGACCGAGACGAGCTGACTGGTTATAAGAGCTCTCAGAGGCATCTAACGTGGTGTCTGTAAAAATACAGTCGGGAAATAGTTAACTATACTGAACAACAAAAGTTCCTGTGACATTGAATAAGATTTAATGCAAAGTTATGTTTTTTACCAAATCTGAAACAATTTCGGTTTGCAACAGATAAAAGACTCCCGTAAGTGTTCAAATGGTTTAATTTGACATACTGACTCCAGAAAATGCGTGATTTCATTAAAAAAACATGAACATGCCAAAATGTCAATTTACAAATCAATAGCGTGTGTCCACCTCTGGTTGCGATGCAAGCAACACATCTTCGTCTCCTGGAATCGACCAGGCGTCGCACAAAGTCCTGTGGGATATCTGTCCATATCTGCTGGAGCTTGTTTCGAAGTTCCTGGAGTGTCTGGAACACGTAGTTTACGTCGGAGGCGCCGATCCATCTCATCCCACATGTGTTTGATAAGTGAGAGATCAGGGGAGCGAGCCGACCAGGGGATGACATTCACGTTGTTTTGTTGAAGAGAATCCTGAACAAGTCGAGCAATATGAGGCCGGGCGTTGTCATGTTGAAAGGTAATGCCTGGGCCATGACGACGCAAAAACGATAGAACAACAGGGCCGATGATCTCGTCGCGGTAGCGCTGTCCATTGAGATTTCCCTCTACCACTATCAAACGGGTCCTCTGTCTTGCTGTAATCCCACCCCATACCATAACGCTGCCGCCCCCGAACCGATCTTCTTCCATGACTCAATGATTGACGTAACGTTCACCTCGACGTCGGTACACTCGAATCCGTCCATCGCTGTGGCTGAGGTGAAAACGAGACTCGTCAGTGAATAGAACTTGTCCCCACTGCATGGCCGACAGCGTAGACGCTGTCTGCAACACTGTAGACGTGCTTGACGGTGGTTTCCTGTCAAAATGGGACGTCTGGCGGGTCTTCTGGCGACAATCCCTGCACATCTGAGGCGACGACGTACGGTTTGTGAAGATATTCGTCGAAGGTCACGGATGCTTCTTGCAGTCACTGTTGCTGGCTGGAATCGATTTCGTAGGTGTGTTGTTCGAATCCAGTTGTCTTGTCGATTATTGGTTACGCGTGACCTGCCACTCCGATGATGGTCTCTGACTGCATTCGTCTGTTGCCAACGTTACCATAAACACCAAATGGTGTTTCTGTGGACGTTAAATTGTCTTGCAACACCACGTTGACTCGATCCTGCTTCAAGCATACCAATGGCTCGCAGACGCTCATTTTCGGACAGGCGTGGCATTTCGTAATGTTGAATAATTGCGTAATTTTGTTGTTTTTCTGAGTGGTTGTTGTCAGCACGATGCCTAACAATGCATATGGAATCTCGTTAACGCACATGTTTTTTTATACCCATTCTTGGGCAGTGAAATGCATGGGGCTTGCATAAAAGTCAACATTTGCATGGAATGCATGCTTTCTGTAGCAGTGGCGTTTTTGTGACTTGATTCCAACCATGTACTACAATATTAAAAACCAAACCTTACTTGTTTAAAAAATACACGAAAATATTGGTGTCACAGGAACTTTTGTTGTTGAGTATATATAACTGAGTTCATGACTTTAACATTTGCATCGCACTCTTTGGGGGCGTCAGATTAAGTAGAGTGATATCACTACAAACCGCCATTTCCGTTATCAGAAACACACAGTATTGCCGTAACATCTCTTTGGGGCGAGAAGTTTGACTGCTGAGCATGGCTGTTAGACTTTTGCCACCGACATAAATATGTAATTAATATGTAAATATAATACGTCAACGATAACCAGTCCAGATTATCTGACAAAACAGATTCCATTGACGTTAAAAGGCAAAATGATATAAATGGTTCCCTAAAATCTGTGAGTGAGTGAGTGAGTGAGTTCGATTTGATACCGTTTTTAGTAATATTCCAGCAATATCACGGCGGGGGACACCAGACTTTATATCCAAGTAGGGAATGGAACACGGGCATTCGGCGTGGCGAGCGAACGCTTTAACCACTAGGCTACCCCATCGCCCCTCTCCCTTGGAATGACACACTATCCGCCATCTCACACATCCTGACCACCTGTATACAGGGACAAGTGAGTGAGTGAGTGAGTGAGTGGGGAGGTATGGGCTAAAGGCCTCTTAGCACAGTATTTCAGTTATACCACGACGTGTCAGTTTTGCCTTAGGACCAGGCCAAGAAGTTGTGGAATTGACATTCACTTCATTGGAGAATTTCATAGAGCGGAATTCAGGATTCGAACCCAGGACAATTAGGACATAACATAAATTCTTCTTGGATTATAACGAATACCGACGGCATAGTTCGAAAACAACAGCAAGGCAACGGAATAACGCGGAAACAACGTAGCGTGGTAGCAATCTGACAAATGCATGCATTATGTGTTGAGAGTTTTGTATCGTTCTCAGTTGTCATGTACCTTTTATATGCCATAGTCTCTTTCTTGAATAATACATTGTGTGTTGGGAGCGCACACCATGGGATCACTTACTGAACAGCCACGCTGGCGCACATCAGGCAGAGCGTGGGGCTATTGATTCAAGTGGCATTTCTAGTTTGCAGTTTGTAAATCATTAATTGAATTGTTTTGTTGTTTCTTATTGGTTTCACGGTGCATGTTTGAACTCAACACAATTACTACTATGGGCGGGGACACAGGTGGCCCAGTCGTCGCGAGAAACCTACGATTGTGGGTTCGAATCCCGGTTTGCCCCGTTTATGTTTCTAGGTTTATCAGCACCATACCCGTGCATCACTTTGGGCTTTCCTCCCACATACAGCTGACATATAACTGATATAACTGGAATACTGTTAAAAGCGGCGTTAAACCCAACTCACTCACTCACCCACATTGATGGTCTGTTGTGTTACTTGCCCCGTGGAGTGCCGGATGTCATGTCCGATATAAAGTACTGAAGCTACATCGAAATAAACCCGCCAGGGTTACGAACATCAAATATCCATGTCATTTACCGATTAGTGAGTGAGGGAGTTTGGTTTAACGCCGCTTTTAACAGCATTCCAGTTTATATAAATGTGGAAAGAAAGCCCGAAGTGATGCAGGTCTCAGACGTTTACCACTTCGGTTGAACCCACGAGCACGGGTATGGTGCTGACAAACCTAGAAACATAATCGGGGCAAACCGGGAATCGAACCCACAAACATAGGTTTCCGGCGTGCAAAGAAGTATTGGAAATATGGTTCCGTTGTAGTGGCCAGATTGGTTTTAAGACGAAGCTGCTAGTTTAGCAGGCCTCGACTCAAAATGTAGACTTTGTCGATGACACGTGAGCTTGCTTGAGTTAGTCATCCAAGGAACTCCACTTATACTGTTCCAGTGAGGCTGACCCGGTCTTGATCGGCGCGTTGATTGGGGGAGTCTTCCTCATCGCGGGGATTGCTATATTCTTCCTGTGGAGGAAGAAACGACAAGATCAGCAAAAACTCGAGGAGAAGAAAGGTAATTAGGTAGTTCTGCAGTCATCTCGGGTGCACTCGGCTGAGGCAGTACCGCAGATTACCCCGGCTAGCAGTGGAGGGAATCCATGTTGGCACTTGATTCACTCGTTCACGTGACTATCATATTATACAACACTATCTGGTGGCATTCGCGACCCTAATGAATGTTGATCGGTGTGGGGAGTGAGGTGTAATACAACTACAAGAAATGTAGTGGGGCTATTTGTATTCAGGTGTTGCCTTGTCATCACAACTGCAGCCCTCCTTTCAGAAAAAGCCGTACTGAATGATTGTAATGATTGCTGTTAAAATTCAGCTATTTACTAAATTACATTTCTCGTATATTTTCGATTATAAATCGATCACATTTTTTTTCTAAAAATCCCGTGTAAAACATCAAAAAAACGATTTACAATTCTCAAATACTCCAAGTTATTGTAACGTGACCTGTTTCACTTACAAGCCTTTTTATGAAGTTTCGGATTTAAGCCAGGGAAGATGTTTTATCTGAAAAAGCTTGAAGAAACGCAACCACCAGGTGTCGCTGGCATTGCCCGTGTTTTGCACGAAATTGCGAATATTCTGGACAAATGGATTAAAGCGTTAAATATACACAGCCAGATATACAATCCCGTATCATTGACACTCTAAGCCATCTTCGGACGTTCGGAGTTCAGAAAGACACCAATATTGATGAGATTTCACCGTGCCACGCCAAAGTGAAAATAACAATCGGCAAATGCTGGAATCCGGACGTCGCACGTCAGTTCAACGTCCATAGGAACATCATATGATTCTTATGGCGACGTTATCAACGGAAACAACGCGTCAGGGATTGTTCCCGTAGTGGCCGCCCAACCTAAACAACCCTTCGCGAAGACATGGATTCGAACCACCATACCAGACAGCAGCTCTCACAGCGCGCACCATCCGTGCCAACTGAGGCGTGTCTGCGACGACAGTCCGACGCCATCTACATATCTACGTCATCCGTACGAGGTGCCAGCCAGATAGCCAATACTGACGGCAGAATACCAACATCGACATCGACATCGACATCGACATCTCCGGTGGTGCATACAACACAGGACGTCACGGGAGAAGGGTCCTGTTCACTGATATGTCGAGTTTCCTTCTTGATGTAAATGTGTTACTCTGGTATGCAAGATTCTCCGATGCGTCGCCTATCTGACATGTCTCGGATGAAATGGAACGATGGTTGCGACGTCGTACAAATCATTCAACAACGTCGAGGGAGCTGCCTTTCTCATGCCTTTCTTCTCTTTGTGTTTTGGGTATGTCACAATAACATTTGCCTTTGTCTATATAACGACTATATTTTGTGTATGCGAGAGATCAATCATCACGTTCGTGTTTGTGTTTCTAGTTCCGCCGGAGGAGAAGTCAGCACAACCCATGCTTCCTCCCCAAACAGCAGCCCCTCAACAACCCGGAGACCCAGGTAGATGAAACAACCCAGCCCCACACCCGACTCTCGGCACCCCGTCACAGACTTTACATTCCACACCCAACACACCACTCCCCACACCCCACACCCCACACTCCATACCCCACACCTCACACCAAAACACCCCACACCAACACCCCACACCCCACACCCCACACCCCACACCTCACACCCAAACACCCCACACCAACACCCCACACCCACATCTCACACCCAACACCCACATCTCACACCCAACACCCTCATCTCACACCCCACACCCACATCTCACACCCCACGCCCACACCCCACGACCACATCACACATCCCACACCCACACCCAAAACCCACATCTCACACCCACATCTCACACCCCACACCCAAACCCCAAACCCACATCTCACACCCCACACCCACATCTCACACCCCACACCCACATCAAACATCCCAAACCCTCATCTCACACCCACATCTCACACCCCACACCCCACACCCCACACCCCACACCCAAACCCCACACCCACATCTCACACCCCACACCCACATCTCACACCCCACACCCACATCACACACCCCACACCCTCATCTCACACCCACATCTCACACCCCACACCCCACACCCCACACCCAAACCCCAAACCCCAAACCCACATCTCACACCCCACACACCACATCCCAAACCCCACACCTCACTCCTCACACCCCACACACCACACCTCACTCCCCAAACACCACACCCCACACCCCACACCCCACACCCCACATCCCACAATCACACCCCACACCTAACTCCTCACACCCCACACACCACACTTCACTCCCCAAACACCACACACCACACCCACATCTCCCACCCCACACCCCACACCCCACACCCCACACTCACATCTCACACCCCACACCCCACACCCCACACCCCGCACCCCACATCCCACAATCACACCCCACACCTAACTCCCCACACCCACATCTCACACCCCACACACCACACCCCACACCCCACACACCACACCTCACTCCCCAAACACCACACACCACACCCACATCTCCCACCCCACACCCCACACCCCACACCCCACATCCCACATCTCACACCCCACACCCCACACCCCACACACCACACACCACACCCCACACACCTAACCCCACACACACATCCCACATCTCACCCCCACACCCTACACCCCACAACCAACACCCCACACCTCACACCAAAACACCCCACACCAACACCCCACACCCACATCTCACACCCAACACCCACATCTCACACCCAACACCCTCATCTCACACCCCACACCCACATCTCACACCCCACGCCCACACCCCACGACCACATCACACACCCCACACCCACACCCAAAACCCACATCTCACACCCACATCTCACACCCCACACCCAAACCCCAAACCCCAAACCCGCATCTCACACCCCACACCCACATCTCACACCCCACACCCACATCAAACATCCCAAACCCTCATCTCACACCCACATCTCACACCCCACACCCACATCTCACACCCCACACCCACATCTCACACCCCACACCCACATCAAACACCCCAAACCCTCATCTCACACCCACATCTCACACCCCACACCCCACACCCCACACCCAAACCCCACACCCACATCTCACACCCCACACCCACATCTCACACCCCACACCCACATCACACACCCCACACCCTCATCTCACACCCACATCTCACACCCCACACCCCACACCCCACACCCAAACCCCAAACCCCAAACCCACATCTCACACCCCACACACCACATCCCAAACCCCACACCTCACTCCTCACACCCCACACACCACACCTCACTCCCCAAACACCACACAACACACCTCACTCCTCACACCCCACACCCCACACCCCACACCCCACATCCCACAATCACACCCCACACCTAACTCCTCACACCCCACACACCACACCTCACTCCCCAAACACCACACACCACACCCACATCTCCCACCCCACACCCCACACCCCACACCCCACACCCCACACACCACACACCACACACCACACCCCACACACACATCCCACATCTCACCCCCACACCCTACACCCCACAACCAACACCCACATCTCACACCCACACCCCACATCCCACATCCACACCCCACACCTCACTCCCCACACTCACATCTCACACCCCACACACCACACCCCACACCCACACCCCACATCTCATCCCCGCACCCTACACCTCAGACCCCACACCCCACTCCCCCACACCCCGCACCCACTTCTCACACCCCACACCCCACAACCCACACCTACATCTCAAACCCCACACCCCACACCCCACACCCACATCTCACACCCCACACCCCACACCCCACACACCACACACCACATCCCAAACCACACAACTCACTCCCCACACCCCACACCCCACACACCACACCTCACTCCCCGAACATCACACACCACACCCCAGACCTCACACCCCACACCCCACAACTCACACCCCACACCCAACACCTCACACCCAAAACCCCACACCCCACACCTCACTTCCTACGCCCACACCCACACCCCACACCACACATCCCACACCTCACTCCCACATCCCACACCTCACTCCCCACACCTCACTTCCTACGCCCACACCCACACCCACACCCCACACCACACATCCCACACCTCACTCCCCACACCTCACTTCCTACGCCCACACCCACATCCCACACCTCACTCCCCACACCTCACTCCCACATCCCACACCTCACTCCCCACACCTCACTCCCACATCCCACACCTCACTCCCCACACCTCACTCCCACACCCCACACCTCACTCCCCACACCTTACTACCTACACCCACACCCAGACCCAAAACCCACACCCACATCCCACACCTCACACCCCACACCCACAGCCACACCTCACTCCCCACACCCACACCTCACTCCAAATACCCACACCCCACACCTCACACCCCCACCCACACCATACACCCACACCTTTCACCTACACCCTACACCCCACATTCCACACCCCAAACCTCACTTCCCACACCCCACACCTCACTTCCCACACCTCACACCCCAACCCACACCACACGTCCCACACCCCACACCTCACTTTCTATACCCCACACCCCACATCCCACACCCACACCCACACCCACTGCCACTTCTCACGCCCCACATCCACCATCCACACCCATACCTCACACCCCACACCCCACACCCACTTCCACTCCCATACCTCACTCTCCGCACCCACACCCACATCCCACACCTCACTCCCCACTTCACACACCCCACACCCACACCTCACTCCCCACACCCAAACCCCACACCCACATCCCACACCTCACTCCCCACACAACACCCACACCTCACACCAACATCCCACACACCACACCTCACTCCCCACACCCCACACCAACATCCCACATCAAACATCCCACATCCAACACCCCACACCAACATCCCACACCTCACTCCCCACACCCACATCCCACACCTCACTCCCCACACCCACATCCCACACCTCACTCCCCACACAACACCCACACCTCACACCAACATCCCACACACCACACCTCACTCCCCACACCCCACACCCACATACCACACCCCACACCAACATCCCACATCCAACACCCCACACCAACATCCCACACCTCACTCCCCACACCCACATCCCACACAACACCCACACCTCACACCAACATCCCACACACTACACCTCACTCCCCACACCCCACACCCCACACCCACATACCACACCCCACACCCCACACCAACATCCCACATCCAACATCCCACACCTCACTCCCCACACCCACATCCACACCCCACACCCACAACCCACACCCACAGAAAACACCCCTCACAACCCACATCCAACAACTCTGGCCCGACTCTCAACACAAGGTACTCACCTCACCCCTTAAAGTCAATACTACCCTCTCCTCGCGAGTCCTCTACAAACACTTAATACAAGATCCTGTGTCAAGCTTTTATGCGCTTCATCAGTTTACGAGTGTCAAACTTTCAAAACATGTTTATGCTTGCTTCAGTTCAGTCTGCAGCGGCTGGGGCACCGATGCTGCCTCCCCAGGGCGAAACTCCTCAACAACCTGGGTACCCACCCCCTCAGCAACCTGGGTACCCACCCCCTCAGCAACCTGGGTACCCACCCCCAGGTGAGAGAGCACCTTTATCCCCTACACCATAGCCACCCGCCATGATCGCTGTGTCATTTCTACCCTGATCACGACCCTCCACAACGCCCTCATTCTTCATGTTCCGTGGGTGATCCCCTTGTCCCCTGAGTGTGGTAACCCTCAGCGTCGTAGCACTAAACATAGTACAAACCTCCTCCCCTCACCGTGTTGCTTGGGTGGCGTCTGTAAGGACTTGCAGGTGTGATCAGTGATGACATAAGTGAGTAGAACGCTTGTCTTGACCCCAGCAGTGACAATTCACAGGATGTAATTAGTGTTTGGATGACAATGTTTATATACTTACTACAAGTGCTGCTAAAGAAATCAGTGTTGTGGAATACATAGCTGTATGTTTTCAGCATATGTCTAACTTGGTATTTCTCCTATCCAAAATGTCTTATTGTTGATATAAATGCCATGTTTAATAATGCGAACAAAGACCACTCGCATTACTCGCTTTTAATTCACTCTTGCGTTAATTTCAAGATTTTACAGTATATATACTCACACGCAAAAGAAACGCAAGTCGAGTATGCAGTATACATGTTATTTATTTTCAACAGTAAAGACAAAAAATACTAATAGGGCAAGATTGACAAAAATTTGACTGAAGACAGTTTAATGGATTAAAAGGCAGATGACATAATTGTTGTTTTTTTCAAATGTTAAGGGCTTACACAGTTTCGGGTCAATACCAAAAATGTCAGTCAATACCTGGTGTGACCACCATTAGCATTGATCACTGCCACACATCTCCTGTACATTGAGTGGATCAGACGATTTGTGAAGGCCCTAGGGATCCTCCTGCACACATCCAGAGCAGCTGTGATTAGTTCATCGGCAGTTGTAGGGACTGGGCGCACATTCAGCAGACGCCTTTGAACCTCATCCCACAAGTGTTCGATGGGGTTCAGATCAGGGCTGAGGGCTGGCCACAGTAGAACACAGATGTTGTGTTGTTGCAGAAAGGCCATGGTAGGTCTGGCAACATGGGGACGAGCGTTGTCCTGCTGGAAAATGTGTCATTTGGTCGATATACCGCTGAGCAGTGACGCCGTGTCCCCGACCTTGACCAACATTTAGAAAGCACATGGGTCCAAGTCTCGCATTAAGTCCAATCCCTGCCCATATCATGACGCTAGGTCCACCCCATGGATCCCTTTCCACAACGTTTTTGTCAGCGAAACGATCACCTCGACGCCGCCAAATTCTGACTCTTCCGTCTGCATGGGAGACAGAAAAGAAGGCATCAGAGAAGATGACACGCCTCCACTAACGATGACGACAATTGTGATGACCCTGTGCCCACTGAAGTCGTGCTTGTCGATGCCGTGGTTGGAGAACAGTACGACGTGCTGGTCGGCGACATCTGAGGTTGTTGGAACGGAGACGTCGGATCACAGTGTCCCGGCTAATGTGTCGATTATGGTCTGTCGAGGACTTTCACTTGCAGTTAGGAACGGATGTCGCTGGTGTTGACGGGTAATCTGACGATCTTGTCGAGGTGTGGTTACCCTAGGACGACCGCTCCGAGGAAGGTCATCTGTGGTCTGTGTAGCATTGTGTCGATGCAGGAGACGGTAAATTGTGGTTATGTTAACGTTGAAATGACGGGCAACATCTTGGACAGATTCTCCAGCTTCCAAACGTCCAATAGCCTGGTTTCTCTGAATTTGAGTTAGGCGTGGCATTGTTGACCAAGGAATGGTAGGTCCAAGAATCGGCCACAGTTTTATTACCACTACAGTTCGTGACAGTTTGTGCATTTTCGATTTCGCGAGAAATGGGTGCATGATACCCACATATTCATTGAAATGGTGCGTTTTGGCGATTTGTTTTTTATGTTGCGTTTTTACTCGGGGCTTCCAAAATGCAACCAAAAATATTGATAACACCATCAGGCTTCACTACATGCTAAAACTCGTATCAATTTATGGTTCCGTGTTTGTTACCTATTTGCTTAAAACCACTTGCGTTTCTTTTGCGTGTGAGTATATATATGAGTATACCCTCATTTCGAAGACGATAAGCACGTTGACTTCCATCTCGCCGGTGAAGAAGAAATCGTGATTCATCGCTAAACCACACTCGTCTCCAGTTTCTCAAGGTATGGCACCAACGCAAGCGTAGCTGTCGATGCATCTGTTGCAAAACAGGGACGATAACTGGTCTTCTGGGTCGGATTCCAGCCTCGCGAAGATGTTTTCTGACAATCTGATCCGTTATCCTCCTAAAACCAGGGATGCGTCGGCCGGTTCTCGAAACGGTCTGCAGTGGAATTGAACTGTGTATTGGTCCCAAATGCGGCAAATGGTGCTGTGGTGGACGTTGAAGTGGCGTGCAACATAAGACTGCTATTCTCCTCTTTGGATACGTCCTATGGCGATGTTCTGATCGACAGCTCTGGGTCTTGGGATTTTCGAACTTGAAAAATGTTGACAACTGAATGACAAATTATTGGCTTATGCTTACCTTTTTATTGCCACTACCACGAATTACGAATGCCATAAGTCGCACGTGCATTTTGCTTTACTGTTTTTCCCCGTGACATTTTTGAACAAGTGTGTAAACAATGCCGTTTAAGACATTGCAAATCGACACTGGCTGCGTTTTGACGCACCGTTTGTCGAATATCAGGCCACCAAAATTTTCCAATAACATATATTCAATTTATATACCGGATTTTCTGTTGCCAGGTTCAATGAACTATATGGTAGTAACACGTACACAGGAATAATACAAGAACATGGTGTTTTTTCGAAAGTTTATTGCGCACAAAACATAAACCTAACAGCACAATGATTACAAGTAAGTGAAATTGACACAGCTACCTGGAAATATAACAGATACTTGTTTGCGAGCCGGATGCTAAAAGGGTTTTGTCATTTTCAGTTTCGTAAAAATATGTACACTTACGGAATGTGCCGTGTTGGGGTTGAAATTAGAAGTGTCGAGGAATAACAATCCTAATTACATATTGCAGTTCAATTCCTGTCAACAATTAGAGTGAATGCTTGCCACCTTTCTCATAGCATACCATGTATAAATCAACTATACTGAACCACAAAAGAAACGTCACCCCAAGTAACATTGCATGAAAAGTTGTTATTTAAATATATGGGTAATTTTTGTCAAAGTTTCTAAAATTCAACATTAACTTGTCTGGAAAAATGAAATTCGATGATAAAAAACAAAGCAGATGACAATAAAACCGATCGCCCAAACGCATCACGGCAAAGGCCATGGTAACCCGATGCACGTGAGTTCCGTGCAAATTGAAATGCTCATGCTTTCCCCCATTTCTTGCCCTATAAAAATCCACCCAGATCGGATAACATTCATTCCTTATTGAATTACTACCACATGCCAAGATTGACAAGAAATCAGCGACACCAAGCCCTTGGACGATTGCAAGCTGGACAAACCGCCCGGCAAGTAGCCAATGCATTCCAAGTCCACGTAAAGACCATATACAGGCTCCAGCAATGGTACCAGACCATCAACACTACAGATGACCGACCACGTAGTGGAAGACCAAGGGTCACCACACGACGTCAGGATCGTCAGATTGTGCAACAGCATCTTCAAGATCGCTTTGTTACTGCTGCGGAAACTGCTCGACAGACCATGGAGACTAACCAGCGACACATTAGTGTGGACGCCACCTCCACTGTCACAGGGCACACCGAGGACCCATTCTGACACCACTTCATCGCAACAGTGGGCGACACAGCACCAGCATTGGCGCCACCAGCAGTGGCGAAGAGTCCTCTTCTCAGACGTGAGCCGTTACTGTATCTCAACAGCAGATGGTAGAGAGAGTGTCGACGCTGTGGTGGACGTTATTCGGATGCTTGTGTTGTTGGGAGAGACTCGTGGGGTGGTCCGAGCATCATGGTGTGGGGTGGTCTTGCGCAGAACATCTTCCAGAACATCGGTCCAGGGAGAGGCAATGGTGTCACAGCAGCTCGGGACATTGATCAAGTCTTGAGACCACAGGCCATACCTCATTTGGCACGTCGCCGAGACCACGAGTTTAAGCATGATAACGCCCGTGCCCACACTGCGAGAGCAACAAGAGACTTCCTCCAGCAGAATGGCATCAGAACCATACAGTGGCCTGCCCTCAGTCACGATTTAAATCCCTTTGAGTACCCGTGGGACGAGATTCAAAGACGACTGAATGACGTCCGACCAAGGCCGTCAACTGCAGCTGAACTGCGTCAGGCGTACATCAGAGTGTGGGCTCAAGTCCCTATGGCCTTCATCAACCGCCTCATCCATTCTATGTATTGACGTTGCACGGCATGCAGTCACCTCTCGCTTCTCTGTGGCATCCAATACCGTGACCCCAAGATACCCCTTTGTCACCTCCCGCTTCTCAGTGGCATCCAATATCGTGACCAAAAGATAATTCCTTGTCACCTCCCGCTTCTCTGTGGCATCCAAGACCGTGACCCCAAGATAATTCCTTGTCACCTCTCGCTTCTCTGTGGCCTCCAATACCGTGACCCCAAGATAATTCCTTGTCACCTCCCGCTTCTCTGTGGCATCCAATACCGTGATGCCGTAACCTCCATGCACTTTCACTTCTCCTTCTACCCTCGGATAACAAACACTGCGACCTCTATTCTATATTCCCTGTCCTTCCCGTAGGGACTAAGGGGTAAGCAATGCTTGTAAGGGGGGACATACTTGGTTGAATACGCGTCATCATACGATATGTCCTGCTCTGGTTCAGACCCGTTATTATTACAGACAGCTGTGATAGACCTCGAGTAATGGCCATTGTGGCCTTAATCAACAAACCAATCAATCCATACTTTGTATACATGGTCACTTTGACTTTATCGATGACAAGTATTCCCTCCCTGTTGCAGGTGCCGTGTACCCCCCTCCAGGCCAGCAACCAACCTACCCATACCCTACCCCCGGCCAACAGCCACCAAGTGAGACATGAGACAGGCAGCTCTCGAAGATACATGTTTACAATTCAAATGTATTTATTAACGCAATTTGTGTTTGTGCAATTCAGGGCTCCTTTGGCGCCAACAGGCTACACGAAAGGTTTTATGCTGCTCTGTGACTGATCACTGTCAAAGTTAACTATTTCTGATTTTACCCTTTCCCCGACAACATATGTATGTTCATGTATATCCCAACGGGCGCCTAAACCAATGATGCCTATAAACCAATTGTCTTTTTTCCCTTGTCCACACACCTGTAATCCTATACGTCATTCTGTGTCATTTAGGTGTCGCCTACCCCCCTCAACCACCCCCGGGCCAGCAAGGCTACCCCCCTCAACCAGCACCGGGCCAGCAAGGCTACCTTCCTCAACCACCCCCGGGCCAGGCAGCCCCAGCAGGTGAGACGAAGCCCAGTTGGTCCGTATATGTATAGCCAATGTTGGTGAAAGCAAGTGCACCACATTGTGATGCTTTACGTCGGGCGAAGACACCCATGATGCCAGCATTAGTTGCCTTTTCTCCTCGTACCCAGGCAAGAATGGGTGTTCAGCCATGGCTCAGTCGTTCAGTCCCTGATTGGGTGACACCCTGTTGAATAGATGTTCAGTCACTGGTTTGTCTGGTCCAGAATATTGTTTGTTTTTTTGTTTGTTGTTTAACGCCGCACTCACTAATATTCCAGCTATATGACGGTGGTCTGTAAATAATCGAGTCTGGAATATTCCTGAGTGCGGCGTTCGACAACAAAAAAAGTAGATGTCAACACACAATGGCATTTAAAAAGTGGCCAAATGTAACAAATGTCATATTTTGGATAGCACTTTCTTAGTAAAGTACAGATTCTAGTACTGTCAGAGTGAGGCAGCTTATCGACAGCAAATAAAGTCAGCGATCTAACCCACCCGGCCAAAGAGAAGCCACTGAGAAAGTGTTATCCCAAATATAACATTTGTTATATAAAGTAGATGTCAGTGTTTCAGGGTTCTGGTTTACTCTGTTTCCAGACACTTGTCCCCCTGCGGCTGACGGCATCCCATCGGCAGACCCACCCCCTCTACAACAACCGCCCACCGTTGCCTACCCCCAACCACAAGCACCCCAGGGCGTTCAGACAACCGCAAGTGAGTTGTACCATAAATTTTGGAGCAAGTTTAAGACGGAAGACGGTGGGGTTTGTAGCATGTTTTCATGTATCGCATCATCGGTTAGTGTCTTCATATTTATTGAGTTGTGGCTTGATTCTCGTTACGTAATGTACTGCTGGGGATCTTTATATGAATCATATGCTCACTCATACTATATTATTATAGTATCATGTATACTAGTATTTTGTGTGGATGGTATTGTGGGGTTATTGTTGGGTTACTTTCTGGATGTGAATCGAATCGTGGTGTTAGTATCGTGATATATATCGTGTCATGAGTTAGAGTTTAGTATTAGTAACTGTATCGTGTGTAAAACACATGATGTAATGTAGGGTCAGTGTCTGGGGTTTAAACGGTATCATGGGTCAATATCGTTATGAGTATCGTATATAGCAGTGTGCGTGTCTGGCATTGTAGTTTGATGCGTATTCTATTGTGGGGTTAGTGTCGAGAAATGGTTGGTATCGACTCTCTATTCTATACCTGTCGTTTCAGGCGTGCCGCCAGAGTCGTCGGACCCACCACCTCAGGCGGTGTAAGTCGCCATCAGCTGGGAGGACACTAATCTTGGAGGCAGAAAACAACGCCAGTACTCTTGGGTATCAACTGTGGCGAATCATGGGACATGATCCTGGTCCCGTCTTCCCATTTTTTAAGGCTATGAGAGTTTTTGTTTCAATTGTTTCAACAGATTCAAGCCTCTTTTTCTGAGGCAAACATCTGTGCATCCTCGAGGCTCCAGGGTGATGTATATGAAGGAGCAAGTGGGCACATTACCCTGGATGGTCGATGATGTGTTAATGGCAGGATGTGCTTCATTGTATATCTGTGATACTGAATGCTTTTATACATACTTGGGCATTGGTCTGGTGGGTGCTAAATCCCTCACGGGGCTTCTTTGTCCCCGACTCTGGAGCTTTGGCTGTTCTCTTTCGTCCTTCGGTCAACTATATATTGATGGCTTCCGAACGACGTAGAACGCTGTTCGATGATATTTTTTTTCTCTGTGTTTTTGTGTTTTATGTGTCATTTTTCATATTCATAGAAGTACAAGATTGTTGGGGTTGTATCGCCCATTCTGGAGTCGTTTGTATATTAGATGTTATATTCCATGTTATATTACGTCAATGTGAATTCCATATTCAACTTTCTAACCTTCGTAATATTTATTAATGTTTTCACTATAATTGTAACTGATACTTTTCAATGTTGTAATCTCATCGGAACCGAAGGCAACATAACATGCAATACTTTGAGGGCGTATTTTGATTTTTGTCCGTGCTATGTCATATCATCAGAAAATATCCATGTTTTGTTGTACAATGCATTCTGTTGTCTGCGTTTGCATCTTCTTGTTTACCCTTTCATCATAACCTTTAACCTGGTCCAAATATACCAGTAAATTGGGGTGTTGTTTGTTTGCTTGATTAACGCCGCACTTAGCAATATTCCAGCTATATGACGGCGTCTGTACATAATCGAGTCTGGTTCAGACAATCCAGTGGTTGATATCATGAGCATCGTTCATGCAAATGGGATACGATGACATGAATCAACCAAGTCACCGAGCCTGACCACCCGATCCCGTCAGTCGCCTCTTAAAGCATGGGTTGCCGAAGACCAATTCTAACCCGGATCTGCACGGGTTGTAAACAGAGGTGAGCTACAGGGCCTGTTTACTCTGTTACCATGTGTTATTTTTATATAACTTTTTTATAATTGTGCCATATCTAATAATGTTAATAATTCTTTCGCATTATTGTTAATGTTATTTTTCTATATTGCTTTTTTATATATCAAGTGTCTTTTTATATGATGTGTTTGTATATGTTTATGTTCAGACAGTTAATTGTTGCTGGGTCATCACAACAAGAAGTGCCTTTAGTTGAACGATTCCTACCACTGACAAAAACCAGACGCCATTCATTAACCAACATGTTCCATAAATCTGGCTGTTTACCGAGTCTCTCCATCAGACAAACGCCATCACCAGATAAACAGGAATTGAGACATTGCACAACCGGAAGTTGCTAAGGACAAGTGCCCCTATTTACATCCTCTCCTTGGCATTACGTCACTACAATATATCTGGCCTCAGACCACAATTAATTTCCTTCTTTGCTATCTACAGTGACATGACAGCCCACCATAATTATTATCGGTCGTAGGCTGTTCTATTGCATGCTGACCAACCTGCCACTTGTCGATTAAAGTGTCGGCCTGGATCTTCCAGCTAGCTTTCGCTGTCAACAGTGCCCATCGGACGTTTTGAGCCGAAACACACAGAGCGACCTTCACCTTGCGGTCAAGTCATGGGAAGCTGGAATCAAAACCTTCACAGATTGTGGCTAACACAAACTTGGCCACAAACTACAATGTCTAATCTTTCATTTAAGCTATCATAAGTCACTCAAAAACATTTGGAACAGGCCGAACAGCCCATCTAAACAGGGCACTATATTCTCTAATTTTCCTTCCGCGGGTAACTGTGGTCTGAGGCCATCTAGAGCTACTTCCCTGGTGTATCCGTGCAGCGTTCGTGAACGTTGATGTGACAGAATGTATTATGTCTACTTACAGTCTCTAGTGTGTACTATCTCCTGTACTTGATGGATTAAACTCGTTGTTTCTTTGCCCTAGTTTCTTACTTATACCCCATAACTCATTCGGATTGGCTAAGTGAGTGAGTGAGTGAGTGTGGTTCTACGCCGCTTTTAGCAATATTCCAGCAATATCACGGCGGGGGACTCCAGAAATGGGCTTCACACATTGTACCCATGTCGGGAATCGAACCCGGGTCTTCGGCGTGACGAGCGAACGCTTAAACCACAGGGCTACACGACCGCCCCGGATTGGCTGAGTCAAAACAAGGTAATCTGGACAAGAAGTTTTACTTAAGCTTCAGGTATATCGATGATCTGATATCGTTCAATAACAATCAAATAGCCGATTCTCTTCGACTGATTTACCCACCTGAACTAGACATAAAGGAGACCAGTGACACCGCCCAGTCTGTTTCATATTTAGATCTATGCATAAAGATTCGGAGTGACAAACTTTTTCCACAAGACTGTATGACAACAGGGATGACTCCAGCTTTCCAGTAGTCAACTTTCCCTCCATGTCGAGCAATATTCCAGCAGCTCCAGTCTTCGGTGCTTACATTTCAGTTTCGAGCATACTCTTTCTACAAAGATTTCAAATAGCGTTATACTACTCTGGTTCAGAAGTTGATCAAGGCTAGAACATTCAAGGCCTTATTAAAGCTTTCAAAAAGTTTTATGGCAGACATGACGCATGAGTGACGCAAATTTGACGCATGAGTGACAAAAATCATGTGCGATGAAATCCATATTTTGACTTGTACCACATGTTCCGGTGGGTTTTTTTCAAGTGAACAGTTGACTTCCCTTTACTTGTGTTTGTGACGGGTGCCACCGGTGGGGCAGGATACGCTCCCCTTTTAGCTAATGCCTGGTATCATCACTATTTGATAGTGATTCATGAACACATGTTCATGACATAGTCGGAATCGTACAATCGATTCTTCTTTTAGCCGAGATTTCTATTGAATATGGAAAGGGTTTCGTCGTTTTTTTATTTATTATCATAAATGGCTGGGTGGCTTAACGCGCGGATTCTCCACACGGACACTACTTCAAGTGAAATGGGTTTAACGTCGGGTTGAAGATTATTGCATTCACAGCTACCTGCTGGTACGTGTGTGTGTGCGTGGGTGTATGTGTGCGAACGTGCGTTTGTGTGTACGTGCCTGTGTGGGTGCGTGCGAACGTGCGTTTGTGTGTGCGTGCGTGGGTGGGTGCGTATGCGTGCGTGCGTGGTTGCTTGTACTGATCGGTTGTACGTCGGTTTTATGGTGCTTACCTCTGAGATACCATGCCACAGTTTAACATGGATACCCTACTCAGACTCCGAAGCGGCAAATCCTTGTTTTATCCCTTATTCCTGACCACCCGATCCCGTTAGTCGCCTCTTACGACAAGCATAGTCGCTTCTTACGACAAGCATGTTTTGAAGACCAGTTCTCTACCCGGATCTTCACGGGACGCCTATTTCTACATACGCCGTACATGTATGTTCATAACCGACTAAAGTGTGGACTCATCTTATTCTTCGTCGTCATTCTGACACCCGCGGTGTCAGGTTTATGAGCGCTGTGACGACTTCATTTGGTTGTTTGGCTGTTGTATAACGCCGCTGACAGCACAAAACCAGCTATATCACACAGACCTTTAATAATCGAGATTAGACAAACCGGTGATCGATATTAAAAGCATCTTGGTACGATGACATACAATCCACCAAATCACTGAATCCGACCTTCTGATCCATGAAGTCGGCAAACACGACAAACACAGGTCGTTGTGGGTCTTGTGGAGACGACCATAGGGATAAAGTGAAGTGATGAGTCGATAGTCATACATGTCAGGACAACCGAGGTTTCCCTTGTTGTTCAACGCCGCACTCAGCAATATTCCAGCTGTATGAAGACGGTCTGTAAATATGCATTGACGAATTGTATAAAAGGGAATAACTGATAATCAGGACACCATTATATACCATACGTCGATGCATGAGTCACTTATTGGATAAATCCCGATATGTCCCGAAATACCCCGATATATACGTCGGCTGTATTCCGAGATGTCCCGAAATGGCCAGAAATATACAAGTATATCTCAAATTATACCGATATTTCCCGAAATAGCCCAATATATCCCGCTATATTCCGAAATGTCTCGATATGGCGAGATATATCCCGATATTGACAAACAGAAACTGGGATGTACAGCCAAGCATCGTGACGGACAATACTTACATTACAAGGAGACAAGGTTCGCTTCAACAGCCAGACGAAACTTTTTGGATTGAAATCATTCTAAACCAGCTTAATGTGCCCCTAAACTCCAATTTATAACGTAATCTAACTAACAGTTAATGATTATCCTAACTGTATAATGTTGCCAGTTTGACACTATTTACTTTGACAATGTGTTGTAGACTCAGTCCAAAGCTGGACCCCAGATAGTGGAGTCCTGTTCTCCTTTAAATACTCTCCCCGGCTTAGCTGGTAGTAACAGCCATGATGAAAATCAAAAACCCGTTTTCTGGTGATGACACAACAAAGAGGCTCACTAAGCTGTCGTGTATTGAGTGATCATGTACTTGGGGCAGGCTGACTGGGAGGCGCTCCGAGCAGAATACATCCACCGTACATACTCGGGGATCAATACAACCGTTCTCATCGCCCGCGCTACGTTGCCAGGGGCGATACATGCCATCATTGCTTACTGAGTAACAGAATGACAGATGTTACTTAGGATGAATACGCCATGGGTCACTTTGTATGTAATATGTGAGGACCCTATGACGTTATTGTAAGAACTTCTATAACATCTGACCTATATTTAATGAAAGTGTTCATATAGTCTCGTTATTATCCCCCGCCCAACGTTGTTGGCGGGGGATATAGAAACGGGCTCCGTCCGTCCGTACGTCCGTCACGTTTCGTTTCCGGAGCATAACTCATAAACCGTTCAATATTTTTTCATCAAACTTTGCAGGTCTGTCAGGTACATGCTGAACTGGTGCCTTTTGCTATTGAGAAATTTTAGAAATATTTATTTTTTACGTTTCCATGGCAACAAGATGGACTTAGGTTCTGTGAGGGTAGGGTTCGTTTCCGGAGCATAACTCATAAACCGTTCAATATTTTTTCATCAAACTTTGCAGGTCTGTCAGGTACATGCTGAACTGGTGCCTTTTGCTATTGAGAAATTTTAGAAATATTTATTTTTTACGTTTCCATGGCAACAAGATGGACTTAGGTTCTGTGAGGGTAGGGTTCGTTTCCGGAGCATAACTCATAAACCGTTCAATATTTTTTCATCAAACGTTGCAGGTCTGTCAGGTACATGCTGAACTGGTGCCTTTTGCTATTGAGAAATTTTAGAAATATTTATTTTTTACGTTTCCATGGCAACAAGATGGACTTAGGTTCCAAACTCATCTTTTTTTTACAATTTCCATGACAAGTTTCACCTCGGTTAAAAAAGGTTAGGGTTTGTTTAGATTTAATTATGTCATAAATCCTGCAACAGGGGCGGGGGATATAGCCACGTTAGTGGCAAACTTTTGTTTATATTGTATTCCTATACTCAAACAATTGCATTTCAGTCTAGGTCCAGGTGCAAGTGCTCTAAAGGAAGCTGAGACGCTGTGCCTGTGCAACCAGGGTAATCATTAGCAGTCAGGGTGATCTACATCACGATGCCGATGAAGCATCCCATGTTTGTCGTAAGAGGCGACTAACGGGATCGGGTGGTCAGACTCGCTGACCAGGTTGATGCATGTCATCGTATCTCAATCGCGTAAATCAATGCTCACGATGTCTGTCACTGGATTGTCTGGTCCTGACTCATTTATTTTTACAGACCGCCGTCACAGAGCAGGAATATTATAATAGTTGTGTTGAGAGACAAACTGGTGTTGGAATGACTTGAATCCAAGTATCTAGGGCTGACAGTCTGCGAAAGCCTGGGTCCCTGGTAGTTCAACAAGAGATAGCGAGTAAGGTACTCGACTACCCCTTTGTAAGGCCATTATATATTTTTATGTTTTTCTCCAACCTCAACTAGGAAGAGAGCGGAGGGCGAAATAAGGTTTAAATGATAAAATAAACATAAAAACTATTTTTGTAACTTACTTTCAGACATTTGGAAGTTCAAAACACTTGGTACTAGACTTTCCATGAATTTATGACGTAGATCGAGTCACTTTACTTCGGAAACGAATAATCAAGAAACAGAGCTGAAGAAAGATCAAGCAGTCCTGGGCGATTCGTGAGTGTGCAATGGTAGTACTAGTAGTATTCAGTTTATCACATCAGGGCATAATTTTCCACAGCGGCTGGAAAAACTGAGATACCATCCTTTTTTTATTATTGCACGTCGGAATGAACATTCAGGGTGGGCGGGAGATGGGAAACTCAGCAAAAGCACGGACAGCACGGACAGCACGGACATCGTCCACGCAGCGGTACGGCCATCAATACCACGCCCGTGTAAATGACAATAATTGTCATATGCTGACATTTGTCACAGAAACAACACTGGGCGTGCGGAAACCTGTTACTACGGGTCAGAATAGGTCCGCGGCACTCGATTGTTTGTTGTAGGAAGTGTAGGGATGGTCAGGCTGGGTGGAACTTGATAATGATCGGGTGAGTGAGTATTGTTTTACGCTGCTTTTAGCACTATTCCAGTAATAGACACCAGAAATGGGCTTCACGCATTGTATCCATGTCGGGGAATAGAACCCAGGTCTTCGGCGTGACGAGCGAACGCTTTAACCACTAGACTACCCGACTGTCCGGTAATAATCGAACCGCACGGAATTAAATGGACCATTGCTCATAATATCAACCTCTGTTTTTTATGGTCCAGACTCGATTATTTACAGGTCGCCCTGACATAGCTCGAATATTCAAGTTCGGCGTAAATCAATAAACAAACAGTGTTACATTAAAGGACAATTTATACCATACGAATAAATTCCACGTTGAATTATTTTTTTAAATTATCTGGATGTCGATGCTATATTTATTAATGACAATACAACAGGTTCCGATACGTTGGACACAATAGTGTGTATATAAAGGTGTATAGTCTGTATATATCAAACTCCCCTCTGAGATAATGTTTCTGCCTACATTTGGTTATCAAAAGGGAGGTCCGGACCCCCTTGACCCCCGCCCCCTCTGGAACCACAATGCCCAACACAGGCTACGGCTGTGATTCTTTATTGCCAGTACAGATAATGACGCCAAGTTTACAAAACAATAACATCACAACAACCCCAGTACACTTGCTTCATACAAGACACACTCATACATGCACGTCATAATCCATGATGTATGAGATATGAGAAATATGCTTCAGTTTTAATGATTAACAACAAACATGCGTTTTATTGTATGAAGGTCATGGCTATCTAACATGAGTTCCGGCCAATACCATACTACACATACAGGAGATTTATCATATAATGGGTAGGTTTATTTGCAGGATAAAGCCAACGGATAAAAACGATATCCGTTGGGGTCATATGCGGATAGAGATGCAAATATCAAAGGTCAAGTAGGGACTACTTTCACTGTTTACAAACAAACATGGCGTCGCCCTTGTCATTCGGCGATCGAGTCAGAATTAACCATCGGGAATCTGGATAAACTACTGGGATAATTGCTATCATTGTAGCAGGGGTGGTTCATTATGAAAAATGACAAGCTGTGGTTGTTTGTTGAGGTGACATTTATTCCATTATCAATCACAATTGATCAATCACCCTGTAATAAAATATATAACATTTTATACTGTACATAGAATAGCATACGGCTGCATATTAATTATTTCCTAGTTTGAGCAGTCACATTAATCCATACATGCAACGCATACAGTTACACATCACTAGTTCGTTGTATATAACTTATAATAAATACAATTTACCGAACTTTCAAATAGTAATACATATATTAAATGTCTCTTATCATAACTGAATATATCAGTTACACACCATATAGTTAGGAGAATACTAGTAGCCGTGTGGCGTCATAAATATATACTTATTATCTCTAACATTAGGAATATATATAAAATGCTACCATGTTGTGTTAAATTATAACACATAGTTTATACATATTAATGCATTCATAAGTGAGTGATAAGATAAAGGATTTATACATACCCTGTGGGTGACACCGGGGTGTGTCTATAAACCCACATCATATAGGATTATGGCATTCCTATTAAAGGTAAATAACATAACTATCATGCTTGAATATATACATACATACATCATGACAACCATTTCCTTAAATTATAGAAAACCAACTTCTAATTCAATCCTTTCATTCAAAACTCCCAATCAAATCATGCTCTCACACATACTTACATGTTAAACACTTTATACTGATAAAATAGAAGATATCTTGATTATTTGATATCATAGGGAAGTATTTACAATATTTACATTATTTATAACATATTTAAATGATAAGTTAGAATTCTATTTAGGAAAGGTAATGTAAATAACTAACCTGAACTATACGTAGTCCATGTCCTGTCTGTGCAGAGTTATAAGCAGAGTGAATAAAAAGTGTGCAAATGTTAAGGTGGAAAGCTGTAGTTAGATAATGTTAAACAGCTAGGAAGCTGAAAAATATTGTATGGACAAGCTAGAGAGTTGGTGACAAAGGGACAGGAATAGACTAACCTGTCCACCCTTCAATAAAATTGAACCAACCGCTTGGACCCAAGCATATACATTTTGTACTACAACTAATGAAGATGTATACAACTACTTGAAATGAAAAGAGCTAAAACTATATTCCTAAAAACTATATATACAATATCCTGTTTCATCATTATCAAAAGAACTGTCTAATATACTGAAAACCAGTGTCTAACTGTGACGTAACTAAGGCATTTTACAAGTTTGGGCAACTTTGGAGACATAAATTGCGAAACAATTTTGCGAGGGCACTAGCTAGGATCCACGAGGCCTAGCCAAGCTGGATCAGTAGCCATATCTGTGCTTGTATACCTCTGCGGCTTAGAAACTCAAGTTTTCCACAAATTAAAACAGTTGGCTTTGGCCGAAATGTGTTTTGAATTGTTACCTTGTTTCGTTTTGTCGCTGTGTGTACATCTGACTGCACTTCGTAACGTTATGACAGGACAGACTGTCAACAACGTCTGACCGTTGCCGTGACGTCTCAAAGACTAGGGTGAGAGTAGCTTCCCTTTGACAAAGGACAGCTACTCTAGCGGACAGACCGCCAAGGTTCGCTAAATACAATGTTTATTCCTAATAGAGGATATTTACCATCCCCAAACTCACTCGCGTGATAACCTCTATTTATAAGTGAGGTGAAATGGGCTTTACTTCGCGTTCCAGATTATCCCACTTAGGTAGTGACGTCACTGTAAGAACACGTATAGCGAATAAACACACACTAGTCGTTCACCTGAGATGTATAGTTCGCGGTGAGTGATAAGTTAATTAGTGGGCGACAATTCCTTTCATATAAACAATTTAACACCTATTCGGGGCTCCTATAACGTGCTATCAGCGGGAAATTATACACGGGTTAACCACTCGTTCTCTGTTATGTAGGAGAACGAGCAGACAAATATACATTTTGAAAATTAAAATTCTCTGTGTAAGGACCTTAACGATAAAATAATTTCAGCCGCACAACAGCGATTAAAGTTCGTATACCTTTTTTCTTTTCTGTTTTACTGAATAATGTACATGGATAAACAATTACAAAACGATTGTATAAATGTTGCGTAACAAGTTTATCCGTACTTGTCCAACGAGACAGATGCCGTTCTTATTGCATGGTTGTTGTATATAACAATACAGAGTTACTTCCCCTTACCGTCTATCGATTGCTTAACATAACATTTCGCCCATCGCTCGGCTGAAAGACAGCCATGGCAAAGTGGATAACGTTGTGTTTTCTCGTAGTCTGCGTGGCAGTTATCATCTTAACCCTTGGTAAGATACAAAATATTTTAGTACTTTGCTCTATCAATCTTACTGACCAAAATATCCCAGCGTGAAATGACAAGAAATGTATTTATTTCTGCGTGTTTACCGACTCTCTGTCTCAGGCTCTGTCGACAGTCGCTTCTGATGCTCGGCTGCATTTGTAGTTCGTTTGTTTGTTTATCTTGACGTCAGCAGCCCTGAGAATGATTTTCCCGTACATTGAGATGGGTACCCAGCGTCCAATGTACGGGAAAATCTACCCGGTGCCAAACCTACCCGGACATATGCCAGCATAGACATGGATCCTGGCAATGGCGATCTCTGTTGACTGGGACAAGATCAACATGTTGCCGTATCCAAGCTCTAGCTTTCGGCGGCAAATGCCAGGCATTTTTTTAACCACCATTAGAAAGTTCAAAGCTCTTAACTGAGACGTTCGGATGTTAATCTATAAATCGGAATTTTTAATCAGGGTAGATCTGGACACCTGTGGTCATATCTAACTGGGTCGCAGCCTATTTCGGACTAGTAGTATATGTAACGACTAGATTGGGTGAAAACGACTAGTCTACCAAAATGTACACTTGTCTCGGAATAATGTCCCTGTAAATGCCTGCAAGTTGTTTCCATGTCAGCCATTCACCAATGTATCCAGCCGTGACATACCACACCTTGCTCTATCACTTTTGTATTATGGCATATAACATCTAGTCTCTGAAATGAACATATTACAGAAAAAACAGTTGTTAATTATCCTATTAAAATATAAGAAGAAGCCCAGAGACTCTTTATTTTCTGATACTGCCTTTAATGAATATGGTCATGTTATCTGCAGCACCACATTACACATGCTGTGTTAGCAATACACACTGAATGTCACAGCACAGGGCACTGCTGAACCTATTCACTAGGGGGAACATCATTATGAACGTCTACGACCTGCGTCACTTTAGCCTGACACACAGCTGATATGACAAAATGTTTTTCAAACTCACTGACTCACTGACTCACACTGACACTGTATTTGGTTGGGTTGTAACATGATAACTATAGTCCCACATCATCTTGTATGTAATGTGATATATCCTGATAGAATTGCTACATGATCTGTGTAAGTGTTGAAGCTCATGTCATAGGGCAGAACAATAACACAAGGATTGGTGGACATCATATATTTGTACTTTGTTATCAGGGGAGGAATGCTGTTAATGTTTTTTATCACCCAAAACTGGCTCCCACAGGAGATATGGCTTGGGTAAGATCAAGCGATATCTACACTGTAGATATCGCTGCAATGAAATTGCATCACAATGCTTTGCAGACCATTGTGACGTCATTGGTTACCATGACGTCACAATCAAATGACATCACTAATGGCTCTGCTACTGAAGCTGTTAGCAGTACTTTTTACACTTAGACACTGCTTATTACTTTCTACAACTGAAGAAGTTGGAAGAATGATGTTGGATGATAAATATAATCTCACCCTCGTGTCTTTTGATATCAAATATATCAACACTCGTTGATAAAAGTGGAAAAAAATCTTCGGCAAGCCTCAGAGTTTTCCCACTTTTATCAACTCGTGTTTATATATTTGATATCAAAAGACACTCGGGTGAGATTCTCTATATACTGTAGGACCTCCCCAAGTGAACAGACAAGTGTGTTATAAGTATGTGTTATAAGTATGTGTTATAAGTATGTGTTGGTGGAGGCAGAGACAGCCTAAGGAGTGTGTATGTAGGTCACAGTTCAGTGTGATTGTTGAGAACCTGCGTGCATTCCACAAGTACACCAAAGGGAGTGTACGATCAAAACAGGACATGCCTGAGTAAGCCTGTTGACGGATCATAGTTATACGGAGTCCACATCTCCCTTCTGTTGATAAAGACCTGTTGAATAATAGCTTCACGTTATTTTTTTTATTACGTTTGCATGACATCATGATGACATACACCACAATTAGGATAGCATTACCGTAATAACAGTGTGCTCACGGGTAAAGAAGGACTTTCGTTATGGTCTGGTGCCCATTCAGTCCCAGTCTAGATGTGATATAAAGCAAGATTAGTGTCGTGTGGCAAACCGAGGCATAATCTCTGCGTAGCACGGATATTGAAAACTGCTCTCCACATCATCGAAGAATCGTCAGCAGACAAAGAAAGTGGCTTGAGAATGACAACATTGCTGGGACTGTCAGTTTATCCAAGTCTCTTCCCCCCACCCCATATATTTCCAGCTAGGATACAATATGTTACTTCTCATAATGTGGGTCTTGGTTTACGTTTCCTGTGGCAGTATAATATGTGACTTGTGGTAAGGTGGCAAACTGGCTACAAATTGTTCTCTGGGTAAAATAACCCAACTACAGTAAACTATGGTTATAACAAACTCAAAGGGACTGCTAATATAAGTTCATTATAACTGAAGTTCATTATAAGCAAAAATACCGCATATATACAGCAAATGACCGGGAAAAGAAATGAGTTTGTTATCCATCAGTTCGTTATAAGTGTGTTCGTTATAACATAAACATTGTTTACTGTAGAAGATGTTTGCCCTGTTTGACTAAGGGTAGTTCTCTATACTTTATCACACATGACCTGCAATGTTTGAATTTTATAATTAGTATCTCTGCCACCCATTGATCAAACATGAGCACATTAGTGCAGGTCACACCCACTTGCTGTGTGTACCCAGCCACCTTGTCCACACGCTGTCTAGCCTCGGCTCCTTTGGCAGAGATTTGAATACCCTGATATTGATTTTAGTCAACATCATTTTGTTCATTAGAGGCATAATGTTTCATGTGCAACGTAGATACAACCCTTTCCTTCATCTCTAGAAGCAGAGTCCTTTTTGACAAAAGTTGTGAGCATTTGTATATATGAATCACTATCAATGAGTGATGACATCAGGTGTTCACGAAAAGCTGAGCTTGTCCTGCCCCACAGGTGACGCCCATCACAAACACATGCAAATGCAAGTCAATTGTTCACTTGAAAAGACATGGGATTATATGGAACAAGTCCAACTCGAGAATTGCATTGGACATCATGTTTGTCACTGATGCGTCAAATTTAGAAATATGCTCCACATATGTACCTTAAAACCTTTTGAAGGCTTAACTAAGTCTTTGACTGTTGTAAATGACAGCCTTTGAAATCTTTGTAGAAAGAGCTTGCTTGATTATAACTCAATAGTTGTGAAATATAAACTCCAGAGGCGGGAGTTGCTGGAATATTACTCAACCCTAAAGAGAAAGTTGACTTTTGGAAAGTTGGAAGTTATCCCTCTTGTGGATAGTTTTTGTCAGCCTGAATCGTTGTAGTCTTGGACTATTGGACTAGAGTCAATTTCTGCGGCTGCACTTGAGGCTATATATCCCAGTGCCGTGACGCCACTTGTCTCGTAATAACCAGCAAGTAGGTCCAGCAGGATAAGAAGTCATACGTGTTACTGTTGTTATGTAGCCCTTGTATGAAATATGTTACATGGACTTTATCCTTTAAAAGCATCGTATGAAGGTCGGAGCATTAGGCATGTTACATCCTCTGTTAATGAACCCTCATTGTCTGCTGCTCTATTGATTATCATGAGAGTGGACTTTTTTGGATCAGTACTCCGGCTTGTGGCTTGGTGAATAGTGTGTCATTGTACCCTGATCTAGAGGTTGTCTTGCAAGTCTTTTTATAACTTATCAACATGTTTTAATGTGACATTGCAAAAGAATTTAAACAAATTTAGAATTGATAGAAAACAGCTTGTGCCATGGCAGGTGACTTCCATTGACTCAGAAAACACATGAAAAAGCGTGTGGCTTTTTACTTTGAAGCGGGGTATAAGGGATTTATTCTGCCTCTTAGAAATCCTTGTGCAGGCTGTATTGCTTGTGGTGGGGTATAAGAGATTTATTCCCCCGCTGAGAAATTTCTTTCCCTCCAAGGCGAGTTACACAGTATTTTATCAAGATCACGTGGACCAGTGAGATCTGATCATTCTGACATGAAGGTATGATAAGGATTCTTGTAACAGCAAAAGGGGTTTGCGTTGTGTTGTGTCGTGTTGTGTTGTCATGATGTTGTACAACCATGAGAGAACAAATTTTTGGTCATTTTTATCCTTCCGTTTTTCAAAAGAGGGTGATATAGTGATCAACATGTCCATCCGTTCCCGGAGCAGAACTCCTAAACCATGGAATATTTCTTGTTGAGAGTAGCTATACAGATCGTCTAGTGGTGAACTGGTGCCTTTTGATAATTTTGGGATTTTACTTTCATGAGGACAAGTTGAAATTCACTGCACATTTGGCCAGTAGAGTGTACTGTGGCATTAGAAACATCAGTGGCCACACCTCAGTAATCATCAGCTTGCATAATGATCATAATAGCGCTGCTCTTTGTCGTCACATTCCTTGTCAAGCTCAGGGCGAATTAGTCCACTGACTCAGTAGAATGCATACTTCCAGAGAGTTATAATCCTGATAGTTCTGTTCTTCAACGGTTACCAAATGTTGAAATATTGTCCTGATGTCCTCATGATGAACATGACGGCAGACAACAGCCATGACCAATTGACTACAGACATGATGACGTACTACAGTTATGATGACAGACTACAGCCATGACAACACACTACAGCCATGACAACACACTACAGCCATGACGACAGACTACACCCAAGACAACACACTACAGCCATGACGACAGACTACAGCCATGACAACAGACAACAGCCATGAAGACAGACTACAGCCATGACAACACACTACAGCCATGACGACAGACTACACCCAAGACAACAGACCACAGCCATGAAGACAGACTACAGCCATGAAGACAGACTACAGCCATGACGACAGACTACACCCAAGACAACAGACCACAGCCATGAAGACAGACTACAGCCATGACAACACACTACAGCCATGACGACAGACTACACCCAAGACAACAGACCACAGCCATGAAGACAGACTACACCCAAGACAACAGACCACAGCCATG